TGGTGAGCAATGGCACTGGGTATCACTCATTTGCATATTTTATTACTATTATTATTATTTTAATAATGCTGGATGTCCTTTTTGAAATGGTATTTCTGTTTCTGACCCAATCCTGGGGCAGACAAGGTGGAGAAGCTCTCTTCCCTTTGCCTAAAACACTGACTGAACCCATGAAGGGAGCTTTGGGCTGATTAGACACCATCAGGGATCCATGAGAGCTGCCAGCACCTGAGCAGGGAGAGCCTTTCCCAACAGGTCACACCACCTTCTGAGGACACCAGACCCAGAACCAACAAAATGCTTTTTATTGTGTTTCTGAGATCGTAGCTGTGGAATTCCTGCACCACCACTGTCCTGGGGGAAGTATTTCCCCCCAGACACTGTCCTCATCATGCTGTGAAGTCTTGGGTTGCCAGGTTGAAGATGTTGCTCTCCATGGATGACTGCCACTTACCCCAGTTCCTCTTGATCTCAGCCTGGACCTGAACCAACACCATGGACTGGTGCTGGTACCCAGCGGCACCCACCAGCACATGGCAGAAGGGCAGGAGATGCACCTTGGGCTCAACAAGGGATTTGGGGTGCAAGAGGGTGAGGATGCCCATGTGTGTCTGTATGCTCATGTGTTCATGGTTGTGTGCCTACAATGCTCATTGGGGTGCAGTCTCTGTGCCCATGTGTGTGGTTGTGGTGCCCAGGGGGTTGTTGTTGGGGGGGTGGACACTCACCTCTCCATTCAGGAAACAGTAGAGCAGAGCCACCAGGAACCCCTGAAAAGGACAGAAAGAGCAAATGTCACCTGAGGAAATGGGGTTGGACCATTCTGTGCTCATCTCCTGCCTGCATTCAGCATCCTCCCACACCTCTTACCCCACCCCACGGACAGCAGGTTGTTCACCAAACCACAACCCTCGTGCTTTGTCCCTGGTGTTTGAGGGGTGCCTGGGACACAATCCTCTTTCAAAAGAGTGCAAAGCCCCAGCAGCACATCCCAGGGTCTCCTCGGTGTGATCTTGGGATGGGACAGGATGGGCACATGGGGATTTTGCCTACTCATCTCCTTGTCTGTACCTGGTAGGAACCAAGGACCAGCTCGAAGTACAGCCGGGCGTCCACACCGATGTGCTCAGGGAAGAGTGCAAACACCACGTAGTGCACCCCGAAGAGAGGGATGAGGAGCAGCGTGGACTTTGTCAGCCTCCTGCAGAGAGTGGTGGCATGAACATGGGCCTGGGTATAGGCAATGGTCCTGCTGCCCTGCAAGATGAGCCCTTCCCAAGAGCTTAGTTTTAACCCAAAATAGATTTTCCATGAAAGGCAGATCTTGGAGGCTCCAAGGATGGTCCTCCTCTGTGCTCCTCCAGGGAAGAGTCCCTGCTGAGGACCAAGGAACAAGCTACAGGACAAGAGGAAATGGGCTCCAGTTGTGGCCAGGGCAGTTGAGATGGGATGTGAGGAAGAATTTCTTTGCTGAAAGGGTTCTGAGGCATTGGAAGGGGTTGCCCAGGGCAGTGGTGGAGTCCCCATCCCTGGAGGGATTGAAGAGTCGTGTAGACACAGTGCTGAGGGACATGGGTTAGTCGGGGACTGGTCAGTGTTGGGTTCATGGTTGGACTCGATGAGCTTAAAGGGCTTTTCCAATCCAGGCCATTCTCGGATTCTTCTGCCTTGGGTCTCCCCAGAAACTGGGGTGAGGGGAGCTCCCCCCTGCCCTTACATGTACTGCTGCTTGTAGTTTTTGCTGATGTCTGGGGACCGGATCTTCTGTGCTAACATCCTGGTAACATTGAGGAAGATGAGGAAGTTCACCTGCCGTGGGAAGCCATATCTCAAGCTCTGCACAGACCCCTGGTTGGGTCCCCCTGTCTGTGAGGGACCCCCAACTCTATGTCCAGGATGCTCAGGAGACCTACTCACAAATATTGCCAGGAGGATGGGAGCCTTGATCACCCACCAGTAGAGACTGGTGTAGTCATCCCAGCACCTACGGGAGAGGAGAGATGGCTCTGCTGCCCACTTGCACCCTCTTAGCCCAGGTCTTGCCCCACCACCTCCCCAGCCCCATTTGCCCAGCACCTCTTGCAATGGGGCCATAGCAAGAGAGTCTTTGGGCTCCACCAGCAAATAGAAATGACATTAAAATAAAATGCTGTCCCACTTCTTCCCTCCTAAAGCTCCCACACAAGAGGTTTGTCCCCTGGGATGTGCGTGGGGCACACGTGGCCTGGAGAAAGATGAGAGGTGGCTGCTCTTACCCGTGGTTGTCGTACTGCAGCCTTGTGACCACCCACAGGCAGACTGTCAGCATGGGGACACCTGCAAGGACAGGACCCAGGTGGGGATGTGAACTCACCCCAGGTCTCTGGGGAACCCCTGCACCTCCCCTCCATCCCTTGTCCCCCCAAAACAGGTGGCTGGGTGAGGTCTGGGGCTCTGAAGGTGGTGGGAAGGTGACAACCTTTCTCCCTTCTCCAGGTTTTAAAAGGAGATGGTGCCCACTGAAGGTGATGTGCCTGTCTGGGTGTCACCTCCTGGCTGCCCTCCTGTCCCTCTGTGTGCTCTTACATCTAACCTGGGCACATGGGACAGGCATTTCCAGCCCCAGATGGATGTGGGAAGAAGGAAGAACCTGTCTCTGTCCCATCCTGACCACGTCAGGATGGGTTGGCAGCAGATACTGTGAAGGTTCTTTGGTTGGTGTCAACAAGTGTCTTCCCCTTGGAGGGATTTTGCTGACATGCCGGGAGGACAAGGATCAGGCCAGGTTGCCTGAGCAGCTCCAGGGCTGGCAGGAGCTGCTGGGTGCCCCACCGAGCATGAGGCCATGCAGAGAGATGCTGGGATGGGGGGAGAGACCAAGAGCAGCCTGCAGACCTTTGGCCAGGCAGATCTCAGAGCAGCAAGTCCAGTCAATGCCCAAAAGTGGTGCCCACCCCTGTTCTGTGTCAATGGGACC